GTTAGTCAGGGGGCTTCCAGATGAAAGAAGAAAATTTTGAAATATTAATAGATTTTTTTTGAAAAAATTTGGATCTTTTCTTAGAGAATAGATAAACAACAAAATAGTTTTCAGAGGTAAAATTGGAAGGGCACAACCAGGAAGAGGCCAAATCTGTTGTACAAAGTCAGTATGGAAAGAGATTTAAGAAAGGTGCAGAACCACAGCACCAAAGCCAGGATACCATTATTAATAGCAGGTAATGCTTAGTTTAATGGACCCAAACTAGTTACTAATTAGGACTTACAGAGAAGAAACAGTAATAATGATGTAACTGTATATTTCAGGTAGCGATTCATTGACTTTACTGAACTTGTTCACACCTTATTGAAGCTTCTTTTGTGAGGCAAACAAAACATGTGTTACTTAAATTGCAATTTAGCTAATGAAGGATCTAAGTTATAAAGAGGTCATTTAAAACTTTTTGCAGTCTCTCACTTGGTTAGTAGTAAAGGAAGGCATAAGCCCAGAGCCTAGGTATCTCCTCTTGTAGGGAATAAAGGCTAGAAAGCAGCCTTAAGTGTGCTATCGCACAATCTTTTAAGTTTGGACTGTCTTAGAGTGGACACATAGCTCTTCAGTGGCCCAGTGGGGGTTATAGATTAGAGAGCAATAATATTCGAGGCCTAATGAACGTCTTCTTGGTTTTGTAGAGTAGCTTCACACTGATCTGACTCAATCCTTAAGATAACATTATGAGTCAGGTATTATTAACCTCATTTAAAACCCAAGGGGACTTAAGCTCAGAGAAAGATAAATAAGATTCTCATGCATATAGGAAGTTCCAGCATCAAGATCCACACCCAGGTGTATGTGACTACAAAGCTTTGTCTGGATGTACATTTTTGTCCTGACTTCTGACTCTAAGTTCACTACTTCCACTCCTGTAGCTGCCTACGTAATCCTAGCCTTCATCTCCTGCTCACCAGCTGAATGACTGTTAGAAGGCTTAAAGGACCTCTTCATTCCTTAACTTCTTCATTAGCCAGATTGGGTTTAAATAACACCTAGTTGTTTGCCTCTCAAACAAAGCTTCCATAAAGTGTGAACAAGTCCTGTGTTGGAACTGGACTGTTTCTTGTTTGCCCTTTTTTTGTAAGTATGAGTCTGTATGAATTCTAACCTGAATACAGTCTTTCCCCTCCATATGGAAAGGGGTTTATCACAGCAGTTAGGAAATCCTGGCTGTAACAATAAAGCAGCCCCAAACTGTGTAATGGCTCAATAACACAGAAATGTATTTCTTATATAACTCATCTGTGACAGTTTCAGGTCTGTGGAAGGCCTCTGATCTACTTAGTCATGCAGAGAGACAGGCAGATAGAGGCTCTAACATTTCCAATATGTGACTTCTAAGGGTTCCCCAAACACTGGCCTTCAAAAAGCAGAAGGAAATATCACCGAGGCTCATTATGAGCCATTTCTATGGGCCATACTGGAATTACATTATTTCTTGATTCGTAACTACAGCTCAGTTGCATAGCTTCAGCTACTTGCAATGGAAGTGCGCCCAAGACACACCCATGGGCATCCAGGGAGAAGAAAAGAGAGCTCATTTCTACTGCAGGGTCTACAAATGCTGTGCTCATTACAGTCCTAGCATTCAGCAAATGTCATACAAAAATCATGATTTTAGTATATTTGTAGCAATGTATGTTGCTAATCCCACTTATATTCATATGACTTTTTATGGAGGGAGAATTTAAGTTTTTAGGGGGTATATGTATGTATTCATAGATGCCTTTACTGAATGCTCTAGAATATTACAATTGCCTCAGAATCCCAATGAGCACCTTAAAAGATTTAGAAATTGTCTCTTAATCCTTATCAGTTACAACTTACAGAAAAAAAAAAAAAGACTTGGAGAGTTGAATAAACGGCATTATATAAATCACCCTTTCTTGATTCATCAGGAAGTAACATGATAGTTTAGTGACCATTGCAGGCTCAGGCTTAGCTAGTTTTGAATCCAAGTTCAGCTGTGTAACTCAAGCAATAATGTTAGCTTTTGTGTGGCTGATACTTGGTCACCAAGATGAATACTATGGGTTCTACTCTCAAGAATCCCCAGTATCTTTTGTTTCCTCTGTTGCATTTGCAGGTCTCTGCTGGATTACACTGAGATTTATAAAATCCTAGGACTTTCTATTAACAGAAAAAATAAATTTTTGCTTGTCTGTTTCCTTTGGGACAGCTGACACACTGGGAGGTGCAGCCAGGCTTTGTGATTGATCAGAGCTCCTTGGGCAAGAGAGCCAGGTTCTTTGGTGAACTCAACAAGAACCCTGTTCCCACAGCATCTGTCTTGTTTGTTTGCCAGTAGCAAGTGCTGACTGGGAGAAACAAATCTCTCAGGACAAAGGCAGCCACAATCCAGCATGGAGAGAAATCATCATTTATAATTTGCAAAGTCTCCAATGTGTTGCTGAAAAGCCTCCAGGTATTTTCTATATTTGGATGTGTGGTAGTTGCAGTTAATACTGTTACAACTACATAGAAGAAACAGCCAGTTTTATGAAGAGGGTGAACATGGGAAGGCCCCGCATGTGCAGTATGGTTTATGTGCAGTATGGTTGGTTTAAAATGAATTTTCTGCCTTTAGCGTAGACCTGGCACTGAGAACAGAAATGCATAGCCTTATTACCAGGTGCCAGTGTGTGATGAATCCTGCTTACTCCCAGTGAGTCCCTGGAATCTGCTCTGGGAGGTGCAGGTCCCAGACAAGGGACATATTCACTCCTTTCCTCATTTCCAGTGCACCTTGGGGGTTCTGTAGTGTTTCTGGGGAGGTTGTAGACACATAGCCACCTGGCTGTCTGCACTGGCTGTGAGAGACCCCTGTGCAACAGGGATCATGGAAATTCTTCTTAGTATCAGTATTTTTTAAAAGAAATATCTCTGAATTGAGAACTATTTGCACATCATTGGTCATGCCTGTATATCCTAGAAACTTCTCATTGAATTTAGGGCAGAGAATTTATGTATAAGATGAACAAGTAATTTATCCTCCCAATTAAGTTGGTTTTGAGAATGAAAGGGGAACATGTATAAACTTCCCTTGTCCTTGTCAAGCCAGGTATGATTGCTTTGGTTATTTGAGATGCTTTTGATTTTGTATCTCCTGGTTTTCCAAATACTAACTATGGCTACAATGTTATCTAAAGTATTGTTGGCAACGTAAAGGTGATGGAATCTGTGGGTATCACTTTTCTGACAGCTTTTTAATGCCACAGGTAGAATTTGTTGCTGCTCTGTTACCGAGAGTTATCTTTCAACCTCACATAGAGAAAATCAGTCTTCTTTCGATTTTCAAACTGATATGAAAATCAGTCTTCTGGTTGTGTATCTTGTTGCTTTGCATTTGGAAAGCACTGAGCTGGTTCTGTAAGGGAGGGTAAAGCTTTCTCTCTGTGAGCCACAGCCCCCGTTACATCTCCCTTAAGTCTTTGGTATTTCTCGTGATCCGAGATACATCTCACATAATCTATACCTGTAAAGTCGAGAAATGGCAGTATATGTAATTATAGGGGATTCATTTTCTGGGGATTTATAATAAATACACACACAAGCTGACTGCAATATATGAAGGTGCCCTAGATGATCTGGGTCCTGAGAACTGATGAGAGTTAGAGGCCTGTGGGATGTCCTGTGGGAAAGGACTGAACGCAGTGAAGGAGCAAGGTGACAACTGATGCTGAAAGGAAAAGCTGGGGTTGCACAGCACAAGCAGCTGTGCCTTTTCCCGGTCTACCTGGCTTTGAGAGCGTCAGGTTTCGGCTGAATCCACGTACTCACTCATTACATAACTCAGGAATGAGATCAGTAACTCAGGCAACAGAATGCTGTCAGTGCATTGCCTCTGAGGAGATGCCTGTAATACAGACCTGCTGAAAGATACCGAGTATCTGATTCAGTATATGTTATAGCCCAATGTAAATTAATTTTCAGCTCGTTTAGTCAATAGTTCAGGTATTTCCATGAGAAATAGTAGAAGATGTCCAGCTAGCACTGGCTGTAGTCTAAGAAATAATTTCATGAAGAAATCAATAAAAATTTCTGGTATAAGAAACAGCAGCTCTTCTTTCTGCAATGGAGTCAACCAAATTCTCCCCAGAAGCAAGAGTTTAGGCTGGAAAAATCTGCACCTCCAGGTATTCGTTGATCCTAAAGAACCAGATATCTACCAACTCTACATGATGACTATAAGAATTGTGTACCATGAACATAGACTAATGAAAAGTTTAAAAAGAACCAGATCATAGAGAACTGAACTAAAGGCCTTTCTTTCATTAGGAGTTAGTAAAAATGAGGAATTTTGATGGACTAGCATCTTTAATCAGCAGTTTTAAATGAATTAGAAGAGTAGTTCCCAAACTGTGTTCCCCAGGATACTAGCTTTGTGAAATAGTAAAGGTATTCTAAGAAAAAAAAAAAAGACTCACCAGTCAAATAAATTTGCAAAACAGTGGATATTATCATTCTTCTTTGAAAGCTTTGCAATCTGAAACTGCAATTTAGTAAAATCAGTAAAACACTACCTAACCCAGTTTCCTGAACTATTTGTTCATAAGTATCTTTGAAGAACACAAAGTAATATCTAAAATTACTAATTTTGAAACACTGAATCCAAGGAAAATCACACACACCTGATTGGAAAGCAGTGCCTAGTGTCTTCAGCTTGGCTATTGCTTATTGTGGTGGCAACACAAATTGGCAGGTAGGAGTGTCTTCCTAGCCCTCATCTCTCCCATTCATTGTCCAGTATGTGAGAAAACATCAGTGAATGAAGCTTCCCAATTGTTTGGACTTGGAGGGAAACTGGCATTCCACTCTTCTTGGAACTCATTTTAGTTAACTATTTCAATTGATATGTTGGCATGACCACGTTTTGGGTGTTCACATAAAGGTTAGTGTCAAAAGACATTAATGTCCCGTTGGGCTTGTGTTTTTCTCTGAGGCAGATATTGATGAATGTACAGAGGGCATCGTTGAGTGCCACAGCCATTCCCGCTGCGTTAACCTGCCAGGGTGGTACCACTGTGAGTGCAGAAGCGGTTTCCATGACGATGGGTCCTATTCACATTCCGGGGAGTCCTGTATTGGTAAGCAGCTTTCGGCCACACCCTCTGTCGCCCTGGGCCTTCGCAGGACCGGCATCCTTTCTTGGTCTGTCCGGCTGTGCTTGTTAAAATATGATCATTCACTGGTTAAATTCATTAATACTCAGATTTTCTCCAAGTTCTCTCTACAGTTTAGAGATGAGGTCAGGGATTACGTTGTGGGGAGTGTTAGAACTTTTGTACAGAAACTGGAGCAGTCAGAGGAACAAAACCTATGTGCTATGGGTGGCTAGTTCTTTCTGTGAAAACCATGGCGACTCACTGTCATCTCTGACAGTGTGAGAGGCAGCTGTGGAAAGAGGAAACAGTGCACGATGAAGAATTGGGAAGAAAGTTCAGCTTAAATCCCAGCTCTTGTACTTTACAAGTCCTTGTATTCTTAGATCCTTTGTCTGTGTGCATATAAAAATGGGGACAACCATACACATGTATTGTTAGGATTAAGTGGGCTGCTCTATGTTTAAAAATCATACGCTATGGGTTACAATCATGATGCGCTTGCGTTAACCTTGTTATTGTTACCATTGGCGCTGCCATTGTCTCCTGCACAGTCAGTGCTGATTCCAGTTCTGCCTGTGGCTCTATTAAAAGCTGAACATGGGGTGGGTATCAGATGGGGTTCTTCGCATTCCAAGACCTTACAACTTAGATGAAATGCAAACAACTGATCAAAAGCATCACTGTTTCCATGGGAACCTTAGCTGGTCCGATTCTTTCCTGTCATCTGGACTGAATTGAATTCCAAATGCTGGACACATCCAGAGGGGGAGCACCCTGACCCTGGGGGCAGAAGGGTCCTGGTGCTGGATTACAACGTGGGGATTTGATTTTGAAAATTTCTTTTCTGTGCTCATTGTGCATCTTTTTACTCTAAGGATGCTACTGAGAGCCTATGTTTTTCCAACATTTCCACCAGTGGTTTTCTAGAGTAGAGAGCAGGAACCACATAGCATGACTTGTCCACCACGGTCTTCACTACTGTTGTGTGGTGTGCAGTGTTACAAGCAGAAGCAGATGGCCTGGGACCAGACTTCTGGAGTCAAATTCCAGCTTGTGCACTTCTTCTAAGTAGCTTACCTTGGGGACATCCTTACCTAGTTTGTACTTCTTCTGTGTAATTTGTAAATAGAAATAATCTTTATATAGAATTAATCTGAGCATTGTGATAATTAATTGAATTAATAGCTGTAAAATATTCACTGATTGTTTGCTCTTATCTTCGATATCCATGCATATTCAGCGTACTTCCCCTACTCTGTCCCTATTTCTTTTCGGTGTTAAAGTAATGATTCACAACTTCCTGGAGACATTTGCATCTATGAGGGGGTCTTCAGATACTTTCTTTATATAGGTGTATCTGTGCCTGTGCTGCCAGTTAGGAACAGATGCAGATGAATAGTACTAGATCGAATGGCTGTGCAGATAGAGAGAATATAATATATGACATTAACTCTGAAGGCCAAAATAAAGTTTTAATTTTTATCAATTATATTTGACATCAAGAAAGGAGAGCCTTAGATTTTAAGTGCATAAAGCACCTTAGAGATCAGCTCCCTGGACCTATCATTTCACCTTCAGGGACTTTGCATATCCTCTGCCCCGGCTGGTAGGACATGGGGTTTGCTTTATGTCTTCATAGAAGAATCGCTCTCTGTTCTGCCAACTCTAGGCCTCTGAGCCTGGTGTAAGTTTCAATAGCTCCACTTACTGTAGTATCACACAGTTTCGTTGCTCTCTGACTAGACTTTGAGCCGGAAATGTACTTTTTCCTCTGTACTGCCAATGAGAGTATTCGGTGGTTGATATTCAGTGAACAAGAAAATGCAATCACATCCTGTCGACGGGTAAAGAAGCCCGGACTTAGAAATGATGGCACGTTGCTCAGAGCCCACACCTGGTTTGAGAAGATTAGGTCTCCAGCGTAGCTCAGGGGAGACCGCCCAGGGGCACGTGTTGTCCTGACATGATTGTCACCAGTGCCCATTGTTCTCAGAACCAGCACAGCTAGGAGGCCAGATGCTGCAGTGCCTCTGCCAAGCACCTGTCCCGGTGCTGGTTTCTCTGCCAGCCGAGTGGCATCATGGTGTGTGTGTGTGTGTGTGTGTGTGTGTGTGCACGCGCTTTCTGAGCCTGCTTTGTCCATGAATTGATCCCTACTCAGCACAGAAAAATCTCAGCAACCTGGACAGCTTAGCAAGGGAAAAGAATTGTTTTTATTAGAGGCATTTTAAATTTGCATAATAGTTCATTGGAATTCCTTGCATTAAAAAAATACAGAAATCTGATCCTCATGTTGTGTTTCCTTGGTCATGGAGAGCACTCTGCTGGGTCAGAGCACTTCCTGAACAAATGGTGTGTAGATTTCACCAGGCTGCTTTCACGCTGTGACTGTCCGATACCATCCTGTTGAATGTAAATAAACTTTCTCATTTCACACGGCCTTCAAGCTTTATGTGCATTGTCTCCACTGACTTTTTGGATTCATCTCCTAGATATTATCCTTTTGATTCTTTTCATGCCTTGAACATGACAAGGAGCGCCTCTCTGGTTCCAAGTTCAGGGCCTTTGCTTTTGCTGCTCTTCCTAAAACCTTCAACATCTGTCTTGTGGTTTGCACATCTTATTATTTAGGTCACATATCAAATATTACTTCTTCAGGGAGGTCCTCTCTCACTATTTTATCTTCCCCTGGCACTTCATTAAAATATAGTGTTTCTATATATTGTAGCATTTTTCAGTTCTCAAATATATTGTACATGAACACACATGTCATTTTCTCTTGCCACAAGCATACAAGTTTTTTTGAGGGCAAAGACCTTGTCCGTTTCTCAGCACTGCAGCTCTAGCCTTTAGAGTAATACAGATGAATAATAGACATTGCATGACCTATGTGAGATGATTGAAGGAACAGACATTCAAAACCATAGAGATCAGATTTATTCTCTATTTGGTTTAACTTAACATAAGGCATCACATATCACAAAACCAACCAACTATATTATTGAGAACAAATGTCATACCAACACTTATGAGGACTTCTGGGAATGTTATTATGAACAAGTTAAGGTATTTTCTCTTGAGGGATTTATGAGCTGAAATATTCTGAATCATACTAACTAACATAGCTTAGTGGCACTGAAAATTAGCACATCAAAATAAGCCCTAGATGGCATCGGCCACTAATGCTTACATTTAAAAGAAACAGCAACATCTAAAACAATCTTTTAGAAAGTGGTTTTGCAGCATGTATTGCAGCATGTATTCACCAGGCAGTAGTGTTATAATATAAATATGTGGCAGTCCAGACTTTTAGAAGAAAGCCTTGTGTCATTCCTTGCCATTTTGGCTCAGATGAGGGTAATAGGACCTGCTCCACGCAATTCATCAGTAACAGTACATGTGCAGCATTACCGATGGCATAAAGAATGGGGCTTTTGCAAGATTTATTATTTTATGAGCAAAACTGTTTATGATTGGTCCTTCTCTCCTAAAATACAAGGTGTGATTGAAAAATATGGTGAATGTTTAAATTTTTAAAATTATTACACTAAAGGATACATTGACAGTCACCTCCCAAACATACGCCCCGACTCTAAACGAACTTACCCTATTGTTTTGCCACTTTCTGGAGCAGCTCTGGAAGTTCTCTTTCCCGAGTGTCTTTGATTACTCTGTCTTGGCTATTGCATTGTCCTGAATCATTTCAAGCCATTTACCTTCCATGGTTGTTATGACTTTGGGAAGAGCCAGAACCTGCAGTTGGCCAGACCCAGTGAGTAAGGCAGATGAGAACACACCATCATCACCATCATGTGTTTACAACCTCCCTTTCCTTTGCATGGCATCATATTTCTATCACACCTCTTAACAACAAACACAAAAAAAGACTTCCAAAACTTCAAGAACAGTGTTCCAAGAGTATTTGAAGCAAGAGGAAGTATTTGGCAGGGGATTAATAGTACTGTGTCTTTCACTGTAGTAATTTTTTAAGATTTACGTATTGACCATATAGTTCAGTCATACATGATAGGTTATATGGTTAAAGGAATGACTTATTCTGGGTATTAGAATAGCAAACAGGATCACTATTCTTGAGAAGTTTATCTCTTTCTTTCCTTTTACCCCTCCTTCCCATCTCATTTGCTTGTGTAGCTTGATAAGGCTAAAATTTGCAAATTAGTACTTGCAGAAGAAGGTATGAAAGTGATCTATTGTTAAACTTTGTGTTTTGATACTGTAGTAGTAGAAGTCAGTAATACTCAGTTTTAATGTGGAAGTTGTGAACTATTGCTTTTTTATCTAGGCGTAGTGATCTGGACTATTTAGAAATGGGGAAAATTAACATAACTAGCAATGGCATAGGTAAAGAACATTACTTCACAGGTTTTAAAAATCATATTCAGACTTCCACCTAGGTCTTTCTGTAGCCATGATTTTGGTTCTGCATATGAATCTTTATCTTCCCAGTCCCTCTCATACTTCCTGTAGATATGCGAGCTGCTCTTTCTTCTGCTCTTCCCAACCCCAGTGCTCTCCTGCTCCTATCCCCTTTCCGTACTGTATGCTTTTCCTTTTCCCATTTTCTCTTGTCAAAATCCTGATGGAATGCCATTCCCTAAACCAGTGATGCTCAAAGTCTTTTACAGTGGATCCCAGGTAGCTTTTTTAAAAAATAAAGACCTACGATGAGACATTAATACCCGAGAGATTCAGAATTAGTTTCTTTGGTGTTGGACCTAAACTATGATCTTTTGTAAAGTCTGCAAGTGACTAGAAAGAATATTCAACCAATGTGCAGCACCTCTGGCCTACATCTTCTCTTATAACAAATATTATTATTTTAAAAACTACCCTCTTTCTTATGTGTCCCCAGAGCTATTTATGTGTAACTCTTATACAGAATTAACAGGATCACATTTGTGTTCCAAATTATTTCTTTATCCTTACAGTAAAATAGAGGTCTTTTGATATATTTTGTAGAT